ACACACACACACACACATACGTATCTAATTATACTCTAGCAGCTATTTTACATTCAATGGTCTTCATTTGGTTTAATACTAATATATAATTTGGAACAACATTATCTGCTATCCATGGCCCAGCATATCAGATACATCAGGGTTTTTCCTTCACAGAGGAATGTATGGTCTGCAATGGTGAGGACTACAAAGGAAAAATCTCCACCACTGAAAACGGCTTCACCTGCCAACGCTGGGACTCTCAGAAACCTCACAACCATGACTACCATCCCAGCAGGTAAGTGCAACACCTTTGTGAGTTTAACAAGCCTTTTCTGGATTACTTTCTGGATACTTCTTCTTATACTCTGTGCAGTCTACCACAAAAGTATCTTGAGGAGAACTACTGCAGAAATCCAGATGGAGATCCCCGACCATGGTGCTTCACCACCAGCCCATTCAAACGGTGGGACTCCTGCGCCATACCGCGCTGCAGTAAGTCTCCATTTTTAAATGTTTCCTCAATAATGAACTACAAAAAGGCTTTCACAGCTGTTGTTTGTTGCCCAGCGTGTTCTTCTGCAACACAATTAGCAAGATGGTCAAAAATTAAGAATGTCATGTACAAGAGTTGTTGCAGACAAACAAATATAGATTCATGTTCCAATGAAACCAGACATTCAAACTTCATAGTTTTTGTTGCTCAATCTATTTAGAGGCAGCAAAGTATTTAATTCAGTTTATTCAAGTTCAACTAATGTTATAGTGACCTGCTATTTTAAGTACCATGATTAAATTCAATCAAGGTGCAGAGTTAAGCAGGCAATCAAACATTCAAACATTTATTTCAGGTGTTCTTTATTGATGGCAAAATCCCAATTCAGCAGCTTGTAGACAAAACACAACAACCCATTCAGAAATCCATGTTGAATAAACATTGAAATATATATATTCAAATAAACTCAAGCTACCATCATCCACTGCCAGAAACTACTTAAAAGTATAAGTAAAATGAATAACAGAAAAGGAAGAACAGAACTAAAGGAGACTTTATGTAAATGAAGTTGTAAGAAAGTATAAAAGACAATAAATACAGAGAATACGCTTCACTTCTTTTTTTGCTGGATTGTACATGAAATACATCTTTTCTTCCGTCTTCAGCTGCTGAACCTTCCACCATTGTCCCAGAGGTCGACTGTGTCACCGGGGAAGGTGTAGCATACCGAGGAACAATTGCTGTAACTGAGTCTGGCAAAACGTGCCAGAGCTGGTCGGCTCAGGTGCCACATAAACACAACCAGTCCCCAGAAAACTACCCTTGCAAGTAAGAGCTGTATCCAGGAATT